AGAGAGAGAGAGGGAGCAGTGGGTGAGAGAGAGGCAGAGAGAGAGAGAGAGATGGACAGAGTTAGAGGGCAAGAGAGAGAGAGAAAGGCAGCAGAGGGGGAGAGAGAGTCTGAGCAGAGAGAGTGAGAGAATGGGTGAGAGAGAGAAACTAGAGGGTGAGAAAGAGAGAGAAGGACAGAGAGAGAGAGCAGAGGGAGAGTGTGTGAGAGAGAGAGAGAGGGCAAGAGAGAGAGAGAGTGAGAGAATGGGTGAGAGAGACAGGGCAGAGAGAGAGAGCAGAGGGATTCAGCCTCTAGAGTAACTCATACAGGTCCAGGCAGGTAAAGGTGATGACTCCCCCCCAGGCCCTGACCTCCCCCAGCGGGCCCCTGGCCCTGGACGGCGCTGCGGTCCTGGACTCTCCGCTGCTGCCCCCGCTGGCCTCGCCCACGCGGGCGCGCTCCCCGGACGTGATCTCGTCGGCCTCCACGGCGATGTCCCAGGACATGCCGGAGATCGCCTCCCAGACCCTGCAGCTGCAGCGGGGTTTGGTGCCCAGCCTGGAGAGCCTGCCGCTGTCCGCCCTGCAGACCGACAGCATGGCGTCCGCCGCCTCCGCCCTGCACCTGCTGACCTCGCCGCGCGCCGCCAGTGGCGGCAGGTACGGCCGGGGGGCGTTATTACTGTTATTTCTGTTATTTCCATAACAGTAATAGTCCATTTTAGCCTTTTGGTATTTAGATTAAATCAGATTAGACTACTGTATTGATCCCACAGGGGGGAAATCACATGTTACAGCAACAGTGCAAAAAACACACACAAAGAGAAAAACACAGAAAAGCCTAGCCGAGGCAATAAGTATTCAATTAAATTTTGTTTATAAAGCACCAAATCCCTACAGCAGGTATCTGACAGCACTTTCCAAACAGAGCAGACTGGACTCTGGAGTTATCTAAAGAGGAGACACAGGCAAGGAAAAACTTCCTTTAGGAGGCAGAAACCTGGAGCAGAACCTGAGAGGGGGGGGGGGCATCTGCCTCCACTGTAAAAGGTTAAAGCTTTTCCTCTTTAATAAGAAGCACTGCTCCCCTCCAGGCCATAATTCTGCTGGCTGTAAACTCATACAGGCTCACAGGAGTTTGAGAGATGAACTAAGCCGTTCTCTTATCATCCAAAACATCCGAGGACTCCAGCCCAGACTTTCTACCGACCCAAACCCCCGCTGTGCTTCCTCCCTCAGCCTGCTGCCCCTGGAGCTGGGGGGTGGAGACGCCCCGGGGGGCGCCGCCGAGCCGGAGCCCCGGCTCAGCAACACGCCGTCCCTGCTGGAGAACGCTCTGTCCCAGGAGAGCCCGGCCGGGGGGGGGGGCTGCGGACGGCGGCGTGGGCCACACGCCGTGGCCGGCGGCCCCAGACATCACCAGGGAGACCAGGAACAGCCTCAGGGACAACGGCCTCGGAGACTGGTCAGTCCCCGAGTCCAGCAAACGCCCCCAATCACAGCCGGGGGGTCGGGCCGCGTCTAAAGACAGTCTGCAGCTTTAGGAGGAAGTTTTAGGAATTTGCAGACAGTCTACCGGGTTTAGGAATTTGTAGACAGTCCACAGCTTTTATAGGAATTTTTAGGAATTTGCAGACAGTCTACAGCTTTTATAGGAATTTTTAGGAATTTGCAGTCAGTCTACAGCTTTTATAGGAATTTTTAGGAATTTGTAGATAGTCTACAGCTTTTGTAGGATTTCCGTACCCATAAGAAGCTTCATGCACATATTCCAGAGCTTGAGCTCGTGAACACAGAATAGGGCAGAAATAGCTGGTGATGACTGAAAGCCACGATGTTTCCATTCAGACAATGACTGGAAAGTTGTTTCTGGACCGACATCGTGGAGCTTCGTCCCACCTGCCGGATTAATGTTGTGGTTTGCTCTTCAGTTCCAGAGAGGACGCGAAGGACAGACACCTGGGCTCACCGTACCACCGGCGCTCCTTCCACCTCACACAAAACGACAGTCCGGACGGCGCCGCCGAGCAAAGGTTAGCCTCCACAGTCCCGGTCTGAGCTCCAGCCGGTCGGTCGGTCGGAGCTCCCACAGTGTCTCCCAGAGCACATATTTGACTGAAGTCTCCCTCTTGCACACTCGTCAGTGACCCAGATGACGAGGTGGCCAGTCTGGCGTCCTCCTCTGGAAACTGCGGCTCTCACGCGTCTCACAGACTGCCGGTGAAAGACTGGAAGTCGTCCCCACGGGGCTCCCCAAAGATGAAGAGGAAGATGAAGAAGGACAAGGGGTGCGTTTTTATTGGCTTTTATCCAGAGCAGGAGGTGTCAGAGGCCATGGCTTTGAATATTTATACACTACCAGTTTATGTTTTTCTGCCTTTAGGACAATATGTTTATTATAGGAATTTAATCTTTCATTTTCTGGGCAGAAAACTTAAAATGACTTGAATGACTTTATTGATCAGTGAATCCACTTTGTTCAGCTTTCTGACTGCAAAATGACAGCAGTTTTTGTGTTCCCAGCATCAGTTATTAGGATAATAAGTTCCCCAAGTCCAACTCTGCTTTCCTCATTTCATTACCAAACAGCTTCTTAAGCCAAACATCAATTGATTTATGCTCTGGAGAGCCATCAGATATCCCATCATACACATTGTTCAGGATATCGGCGGCTCGGTTCATTGATTTGAGCGTCAGAGCTAAACGCAGTACGCTAACATTATGTTTAATGATTATTTCATCTCTCTGCAGTGAATCCTCTCAGTCCCGACAGATGGATTCTAATCAGGTAAAGTGTGTCTTTGTGCTTTGGTCTCTCCTCTAAAAGGCCTCACGTCCCTCCTCATGTCGGCTGCAGCTTTGCTTCCTCTGATCCGACAACCGGGCGTCAAATTGGGGCTTTTCAATGCTACTTGGTGGCTACTTGGTACCTTCAGGCTGCCGGGAGCTTTTTGATGTTGTTTGGACAAAAAATTCTCAGTTTTATTCTAAGCATGCATGTGTGAAGCCTTTTCTTTTTAATAAGAGCCAGTGCTTTACCTCCAGGCCACGTTTCTGTTTGCCGTTAGGGAAAAAATCAACCGAAAAAGGCCAAACTAGCTAAATAAATTCACCCGTTTGCTTCCGAAAAGCATGTTGCCTTCACAACATGCTGAAACGGCATAAAGCTTTAACACAACATAATAATGAGATAAATGTTTCAGGCCTGACGCGTATTAAACCGCGTTTTCAGCCTTTTTAGGCCTAATTGTTGTTTTTTATGGCCTGATCTGGTTCGTTAATCATCCCTGTTCCCCCCCCGGAGCAGAGAAATTGTTAAAGTTTGTTGTTGTCCCTCCTGTAATCAGTTCCCTCAGTTTGTAAATCAGTGCTGATTGTCTCTGCTCCTTTAAAGTTTCTCTCCATCTTCCTGCAGTTTAACGCTGAAACTCAGGAGGAGCTGCTGATGCTGCTGCGCGCCCAGCAGAGGGAGCTGTCCGAGCTGTGGGGGCAGGTGGAGACCATGCCCAGCACCATCATGTCTCAGCTGGAGCACCTCCTGATCAAACATCAGGAGCACGAGCGTATCCTTTTGACAGTTTTCTGCTCCCTCTGTACTTCCAAATCACAAGAAACGGACAAAAAAATAAGTAAAATAATTAAAAATAAAATATTATAAATAGATTGAAAATAAATACACATAAATAAATAAATATAAATAAATTAAAAAATAAATGATACATACAAATAGATTATATAAAAAAAATTTAAAAAAAGTCTTAGCCAAAAGCGGCCGAGTGCTTTGTCTTTGCAGCCCTCCTCTCAGAATCGCGTCCCCTCGAGCCTTGACTCATCTCCACATCAGACCGCAGACTAGAGCGAGTTCTGGCAGAGAGTCAGAACCACCAGCAGCAGCTCCAGGAGCAGCTCGGCCAGCAGCTCGGCCACGCCCTCAGCTCGGCGCTCAGCAACAGGATGGACAAAGTGCTACGAGAGGAGCTGAAGAAAACCGTCCCACAGAGTGAGAACACACACCACAGATCAGCCACACTAAGGGCTCCACGCTGGCCCCAGATATGCCAGTCAGCCTGAATAAGGAAGATGTTGTAAAGCAGTAATAACACTCATGATATAAACGGTAATCTAAGAAATACCTATGATAATAAGAATGATAATATAAAGAAAACACCTAACAATGCTGCTGATTTTGATAGCAGCTGCCATTGAAATAGAGCTTGAAATGTTCCCACATGCACTGATGGATGGATGCTGCATATTCCAGGACTAATCGGGGTTCTCCTCAGCCCCCCTTTCTAAAACCAAAGCTCCTCAGAAGATCCAGTTAATGTTGTTTAATAAAAACAGTTTTTCCAGCACAACTCTGACATCCAGAAAGAGACTAAATCCAATTGATCAGTTTCCACACCGATTCTGGTCCTAGCTGCAGTTTGCTGCATGTTAGCATTTTTAGGGGACAATTACAGGATTTTCAAAGAGCTAATGAGTAAAAAATAATCTGTATTAAAGCACAATAATGGCTGTTTATGATGGATAGTTCCCAGATTTGGAAAGAGTGAATTAGAAAATAATTCCACACCCCTCGAAATCCAAGAGCTGGAATATTTAATTAATTCACTGTGATGCGACCATATTGTGGATTTTTGTCAGAATGGCACCCTTAAACGACATTTCTGCACAAACATGAGAAAATAGTGCATCTCAGTGTCCAAATGCCTGTTTTTAAGTCTCAGCCTTTTCGAGTCGTTTATCTTTTCCAACATCTGTCTGAGCATTTTCAGGCTTTTTGCTATTTTTTATGTCCCCTTTTCATCTTTCTTTAAGTGAACTGAGGAGGAAATACAGTTTTTAACTCATGAAGATGTGGTTATGTAAGCTGTGAGCCTTAAAAGGCCCAATTCTCAACTCGGCAGCAGCAGAAAAGGGCCGAAAACACGACCTTCCAGATAAGCTTTTGTTGACCAGAAAATACAACAAACAAGAGACTTGTTTTTCTTTCAGAGCATTTTCAGTACTTTCTGACACAATGACTGTACAAGGTTCCTAAAAGTAGGCAGAGGAACGTAGCAGGATGTGAAAAGTTTGTGGGAAAAGCAAAGTAAGAAAAGTCAAAGGGGGATTAAAAGAGACATAAAAGCATCTATAAATAAAAAGAAAACACGGAAAATCATTTTAAACAGTCAAATGAAAATTATATGCATAAATAAATGATGTGAAGGTCAATTAAATGATAAAACGAAATGGGACGCTTTAAACAGATTCATAATTATATCTGCAAATGAAAGTAGAAATGTAAAATTAAGTCTAATTTTCTAAATTATTGATGCATTTTAAGTGTAGTGGTTTATTTATGGGGCCATTTGTATATTTCTGCTGTTGTCGTTAATTCTGTCAGTTTCAGAGCTCCATATTTCAGCTCTTTGGACAGTCGTAGCCGTTTGAAGACATTTATAAACAAATCCTTTAAATCAACCCCCCCGCCGCACACAGACAACATCTGCCAGCTGTTAGGCCTCATTTTCAAGGTTTCCAGGACGAGCGTCTGCTCATGTCCCCAAACTGTCTCCAAGTATCACAGAAGTCTCGATTACGGGAATAATTTACAGCTTTGTGTCCGTCTGTGGGAATAAAAGACTGTTGAGGTTAAAGATGCTTCTCAGCAGTCTAAGATTTCAATACTTTAGTTCTTTGAGGTTTTCCTATTCAGAGGATGAAAAAAGGGAAGGTTTTTTTCTCTCCTTTTTCTAATAATCTCACACAAAAACCAGGGACAGCTTAGAAAGAAGTCTGTTCTGACTTTTTGCTTCTGCTCCCACTAAAGTCAAAGTGCAAACATGGCAGAGAATCAATAAGTTATTGTGCCATTTAGTGTCTGAGCTCGTCGGGGCAAAAGTGAAGTGAGAAATAGTTCAGGCTGCTGAGGTGTGTTGGACTGAGACGCCGGAGCTAAAAGTAAGCAGCCTCCGGAGGGATGTATTTCTGCCTCGCCTCCCCTGCCCTCTAACTCAAAGAAGAGATGTTGCTTTCATGTTTTTTCACATTCTCCAGCTCGCTCTCCTAATTACCCCGGAGCTCTTTCAACGTCCTCCTCTGTCCGCAGCCATTTCGAAGAGCCTGGAGCCGGTGACGGGCCAGATGAACAGCACCATCGCCGCCAAGCTGACCGCCGTCGAGGTCACCCTGAAGGACAACGTCAGCAAGGTGGTCAAGTCCAAGGTGGGTGCCGGTTGGGCTTTAGCTCGCCGGGGGGGGGGCCGCGGGTCCCGTTTTCCATGTGTCTGAGTGGCGTTTCCCTCCTCAGAACACCACAGACGCCATCGGGCGAGCGGCGGCCGAGGCCATGCAGGGCCCCATCCAGGCGGCCTACAAAGACGCCTTCCAGAGCATCGTGCTGCCCGTCTTTGAGCGGGGCTGCCAGTCCATGTTCCAGCAGATCAACGACAGCTTCAAACAAGGCACACAAGAATGTAAGCGAGCCCAGAGCCCAGAGAAAGGCGCTTTAGATCCAGCCTGGGGGGTCCAGAGCCACCATCCAGCCCTCAGTGCTTCATGTTTGGTGTCCCCACAGCCAGTTTTGAACAATTAATTTTGTGAAAGCCTCTAGTTTTTGGTTTTCCTCCTCCTGTTAGATATTTATTTGTTTGTTCTTGCTTGATGAAATCACAGTTTCCCGGCTTTATGTGAGGAAATGAGGGCTGGCGAGCTGCTTCTGCTCAGGTTGTGTCTCTTTGTGTGTCTATCCGCATCCACAAGTTTTAATTAAGTCACCGTCTCAGAGAAGTTCCCTCATGTCTGCTTTTCAGGGTGAGTTTCAGCTCGGTTCAGCTTGTCTGAGCAGTAAAAAGCAGCTTTATATAAGATGAAATTGATGGGAGCCAGAGGGCGCCGTGCACTCGCTCCGAGGAATCCGAGCGAAGTGAGAAGTTTAAGGAAGGAAAACTTCCCTAAAACAACCCAGAAAAAGTCCCAGCTAGGTTTGCCTTAACTGCCAGTGGAAAGACAGCGTTTCCCTCTTTAATCGGAGGCTCCTTCAGTCCGTAAAGCCTGTAAACGGAGCGGCGTCCTGTGGGGCCGAGTCAGCGAACGCGGAGGGGGCGACATTTAAGACGATCACGACGAGCTCGAATCATCGTCTTTAGTCACCCCTACAAGAATAGCTTGGTTTTTAAATACCACCAGCTTGTGTTTGGCGTGAAAGCCGTCTGTTGCCGCGTAACAGCAGCACCAACTGTTGTTTGTTGCTGTGCTCGGAGGCCAAACGGGCGTTCAGGCGTCGCTCTGCAGAGGAACGCCGTCCAAACCCACCAAGCCTGCGTTATATGTGCTGCTGTCGGCCGGGGAATTAAACCAAGTCTCCCCAATTGTCCAGTCCTGGAAGCCCTGCATAGGGTTTAGGGGATTTATTTTATCCAAGAGTCTTAGTCCCTCTGAGGAAGTAAGATGTAAATAGATAGAAGTTTTTATTTAGAAGGTTTTTTATGTCTTTATTTTTATCTGGAACATTTTGAGCATTTCGTTTTGGCATCTAACTATTTGCTGAGTGATGATGTCATTTGGACCGGTAGCCATTTTCTATTTTATAAAGCGGTTTGGTCAAAGAATCCTGCTAAGAGGTCTGGGGGGGGTTTAACTCCACTTTTATCTGCATTGGGGACGTTCTCAGGCTTTTTTCCCACTGGTCTTAGTTTGGTTTTGTTTTCCCACCTGGTGTAACAGCAGATGAAGAACTCCCCCTCCTCCTCCTCGTTTCTCTCGAACCGCAGGGGGTCAAAGGTCATGGCCGTTTCTGTGGTTAAACCTCTGTCTGTGTGTGTGCCCGCAGACATCCAGCAGCTGGAGGCGCACATGAACAGCAGAAAGCAGCGGGAGCAGGAGGCGCGGGACCCCGTGGTGGGCCAGCTCCAGCAGGCCATCGACGGCTTCCAGAGCTCCACCGATCAGCTGGCCAGCAGCGTGGGCGCCGCCGTGCGGGCAGAGGTCCAGCACCAGATGCAGATGATGGTGGGAAAGTAGGTATCGGTGCTGCGGCTCCTCGGGGGGGCCAACCCCGACGATTTAGGCAAACATGTGACCCGGCTGTAACGATGCTTATGGGGCGTTTTAAAGGCTTTAATCAGAGCTCTGCTCCTAAAACCGGCCCATCTTCCATAATTATGCTCAGAGGCATCAATCCGATGGCTCTGACTGTCATGGTTTTTCTGCTGTAGACGAGTCAGAGTCATAGTAAACTCTTTGTTTTTCTGCTGTAGACGAGTCAGTCATAGTGAACTGTTGGTTTTAAAAGGCTCTACTCGGGGCTCTGCTCCTAAAACAGGCCCCTCTTCCCTGATTATGCTCAGAGGCATCGATCTGATGGCTCTGACCGTCGTCCCTCTCTTTTGTGGACGTGTTGCACATCAGCAGAAGCCTGAGCTGCGCAGCCTTTTGAGCAGGTGCATAATGGATTGGGGGAGTAAAAACAAGCAAAGCTTAATCCTGAGGCTAATGTACGGGCATGAATTCGATCAAGTCTCTTGTTCCCAGCACAATTAATTCTGTGGCCTCCAGAGTTTATAGATTGTCGTGGGCAGGGAGGAAAGAAAGTGGCCGGATAAGTCAAACTTTTAAAACCCAAAGAAGAGTCGTCTGTGGTTCTTTGCTGAGTGTTTTGTGCTCGGGGAGCAGCTTTGTGTCAGACGGGGATGAGATTTCTCTGTGCTGTCCCTCCGCAGCCTGCAGGAGTCCATCCTCAGCCATGTGCAGCGCATCGTCAAAGGGGAGGTGAACCTGGCCATGAAGGAGCAGCAGGCGGTGGTCACCTCCAGCATCATGCAGGCCATGAGGTCGGCGGCGGGCACGCCCGTCCCCACGGCCCACCTGGACTACCAGACGCAGCAGGCCAGCATCCTGCAGCTGCTGCAGCAGGGCCAGCTCAACCAGGCCTTCCAGCAGGTGACGCATGAGGGCCGCCACGCTCAGACCATCACAGTCTGGGGGGGTACAGGGGTACAGGGGGACAGGGGCAGAAAAACACTCCAGTGCTCTAAACCCTGTCCGAATGAGCATTTTCACTTATTTATTATGATTATTATTAATAATAATAATTGTATTATTATTATCATCATTGTTATTATTATTATCAATAATTGTATCATTATAAATTAAATTATTTATTTAAATTAAAATAATATTATTATTATTGTTATTTTTATTTATATATTGTTAATGATTCATATTTTAATTTAATATTTATTTTCAAGTTTTCTTCCATGTTTAAACAGTCACTGGTTTGGAAACTGTTAGTTTTGTAGCTGTAGATGTGTCAAAGTTATAGTAAAATGTTGTTTTTTCTGCTTTAGATGTTTTGCAGTCATAGCAAACAGTTGTTTATGTAGATGTATATGTTTTGGAGTGATAGTCATCGTTAGAGATCGCTTGAGGACAACTGGACCCTTAAATGAGAGCTGGAGGTCCAGTTGCCTTTTTTCCAGCCTTCTGATGAGTCATGGGTGTAGAAACTTGCAGCTCCGACTCAAAATGTGAAACCTCTGGTGTTTTTTTTTTAGCTTAAAGTGAATAAGGACCCCTCTTCCCCCACAGGCTCTGTCGGCCACTGACCTGAACCTGGTTCTGTACGTGTGTGAGACCATCAACTCCCAGCAGGTGTTCGGGCAGCACCCCTGCCCCCTCAGCCAGCCCGTGCTGCTGTCCCTCATCCAGCAGCTCTCCTCCAACCTCGCCACCCGCTCAGAGCTCAAGATCAGGTGAGAACAGCCCCCGCCGCCGGGTCCGGGCCGGAAAAAACCCGCCCAGGGTTCCCGCTCCGGGAGCCAGTCAGCAGTTATTGCGTTTGGAAGATGGATCACCAGTATCTGATAGTCTGTGGAGTCATAATGAGGCTGATGGAGGGCAGCAGCTAACGAGCGCTCATGATTCAGGCCGAGCAGATAGGACACGTTTACACGAGTTACTCTAACAGCAGCCGATGCAGCAGCGACATGTTCTTCAGAGCAGACGTCAGCCGCATCGCTCAGATCTGTGAAGGTCCTCAGTAATACAGGTCAAGCTCTAAAAGTCCAGTTCAGGCAGCTGGAGGTGAAGTTTTCTATTAGACGTTTGGCCTCTGACGTCTGGCCAAGAAGCTTCTGATGGTGGAGCTCTGAGGTTAATATACTGTAGCTGGAACTAAAGAATTAGGGGGAAACCAAAGGTGGCTCTGGTCCCTCCTGCTGGGGGCCATGCCCCCCCTCCATGACCCCAATTGGGCGCTGAAATGGGTGGATGGAGAAAAAATGGCGTCAGATCTGGAAAACGTGGACTGCTGCTGCTTTAAATCCTGACTGACAATGAGTTCCCCTCCTCTTTCTCCCTGATGATGTCATCACCACTCACCCGCTTTGCCCCCATCATCCGTGATCCCCCCCCCCCCCCCTTCGGCGTCTCATTTCCACCAGACGGCGGCTAGCTCGCTGCCCCGGCCGCTCCTCGCCGCCGGGCTCCGGCTGCACAGCCACATCAGACCGGCTCTCTGTTCTCCGCCTGTCCTCGCTCCGGTTTGATGTTTTATTCCAAAGAAGTGTCCCGTCAGAAGCCCTCTGCTTGTGTTCCTTCCCCTTTCTTCTCTGCAAACCACCGACTGGAGGCTTCTGCTCTTCTCTGCTCTGACTCAGCCTTTTCTGGGGCCATGGACGAACTTAAGTTTGTTCAAAGGCTCCTTTTTAACGCCTTTAAATAGAGCCGCTAACAGCCACTTTAAGTTTTAATCATGCAGGAACACCCTGCTCTCAAACAGAGATAGAAATCGGCCAATAAGGAGCAGCGAGCGGGATAGTAAATCATAACGGCGTCTAATGAAAGATAACTCGGTTTGGCTCAGGGTGGAGGAGCTGATGGGATTTATGATCTGTTGTGCATTCAGATGTAAAAAATCGGCCCCCGATTGAATCTGCTGACGGGATTTAGGATCTGTTGAGCCCTCGAATGTTAAAAATCATCTGCCAACTGAATCTTCCTTAAAAAGAGATGAAGGAAAGAATGAAAAGTTTCCACTAGCAGGCAACAAAAACCAGTTGTTTTTGTCAGCTCCAGGTTTTTTTGTGTTATTTATTTTACATTCGACGTTCTACTCATGAACAAATGAAAGTTGTGTTGTTTTTTTAACCTGTTTTCATGTGTGCTGAACTGGTCCAGAGCTCACAATAAAGTTACGTCGTGCTTAAAAAGATGAAAGTTTTGAGTCTGCTCGGCAGGTTTTTGTCCGTCCGATCGGCTGACCTCTGACCTCTGCCCTGTGCCCTCTGCCCCCCCCTCAGCTACCTGGAGGACGCGGTCCTGCACCTGGACCACAGCGACCCGCTGACCCGGGACCACATGGCGTCGGTGCTGGCTCAGGTCCGGCCGAAGCTCATCGCCTTCCTGCAGCAGGACCCTCACAGCCCGCTCAGCAAGAGGGCGCGGCGCCTGGTGATGATGCTGCAGGGCATTTTCAACCTCTAGGAGGCCCCGCCCCCCCGCCGCCGCCCCCCCCACACTCCTCCCCCCGTCGGGGGCGCCCGGCTCCGGCCCGAGGGGCGAACGGCAGGCTGGGACTTCCTGTTTCCCTTCTGGAAGAGGCCGGGCCTCCTGGGCTCCTCCTCCCGGGCCGGACGCCGGCGCCGGACGGGGTCGGAGATCCGCGCACCGCCGTCATCATGAGCATCATCATGTCTTCGTCTGGCCTTATTTCAGAAATAATTCTAGGCATCACAAACAAACAAAAAAAAAAAGGATCATTTTCGACGAAGCTCCCTTTAAAACCCGGAATAAGTGGAGGCCATCGTGGCTGCCGTCCACCAATCATCAGTCAGGCTCCTCCTGGTGTTTTCCTCCTTATGTTAACCCCTTTTTTATATAAACCTTTAGTATTTGTAAGCCATGTATACTTGCTTTAAGAGTTGTTAAAGTAGCCTAATAAAACACTTGCTCCATGTGATTGTTACTGAGCTTATTTGAGCAGATTCCCCAAATCGAAGCTTGTGTTCTTGAGGTTGAGTCACTTCTGCCCGGTCTGCAGGTTCTGTTGTCCGGGACCCGTTCAGGTTCTGATCCGGTTCTGCTGGCGGAGGAGAGCCGGCCCCCTGCAGCCCGTCTGTCTGGGGCCCTTTGGCTGCTCGGGAGGAAAAAGGACTGGTGCAGGAAGTGCCTTACTGTGTTTATCTGCTTGTGGCGGCGGGCGCCGCGGGGCGCCGGCTGATTGGCCGGCTCTCCTCCAGCAGACCTGGGGCTGTTTGTGTCATGTTCTCTCTCTTTTCACTGTGTCAGCTTCCCTGTGCTCGGAAAGGCTCTGTTTGTTTTACGGTTTATTTGACCCTTCAAGGTTTTTTTTTGGAATAAAAAATGAAAGATTCACTTGAACGCGTCTGGTTGTGTTTTGGCTCCGCCCCTCACAGACACCCGTCCATTAGCGTCCCCTCACACCCATCAGCACGCCGGCGGCCGCATGGCGCCCCGTTTCACTCCTAAAGATGTAAAAAAAAGACTGGAGCTTCAGAAATCCACACATCCTGTTTTTTATGTTGTACTGATCTGAAAGCCAGCAGCTCGTTGACCTCTGACCTCAGGACCTTTGTTGCTTATTCAGTGTTAAATGTATTTAGTTTATTTTTTTGGAACAATGAAATATTAATAATCTTATGCTGATCTGACACTTTTTCTGCTTTTTATCTTGTTTTCAGTCCTCGTAGCTGAGCGTTTTCAGAGGCATGTGTTTTCACTTTTAAGCAGCAGCTTAAAGTAGAGACTCGCAAGGAAAGGAGGCAAGATTAAAGGGAGAAAGATAGTTTAAAAAGTCTTCGGCCACCTTTAATCTCTTTAGATTCTCCCTCAGAGCAGCCAGACGTCCTTAAAGGTTTGTTAGAGACTCTGATCCAGGATTTCTGAGCTCTTTCAGGTTTTTTGTGCAGACATTTTTGTACTTTCTCGTCCAGTTTGAATCTTTGCTGAGTCAGAAGAAGGCCCCTAACTCAAGGGCTGAGCCTTGAGGATGGAAACGGGTCAGCACCAGCTGCAGAAGCTCTGTCCCCCCTTCCTTCATCACCCTTTTCCTCCCTCTCTCCTCTCTGACCAGATCAGCGGGACGGTTCTGCTTTAACCCGAGTCGTTTTTAAACCACAGCATCCGGTCACTGCTCTGCTCTCTCTAGTTTAGACACCCCCCTCCCCTCCTCCTGTCCTCCTCCTTTCCTCCCCCCCTCCCCTCCTCCTCCTCGGCTCGGACGCGCCCTCCCCCTCAGCGGAGTGCAGCCGCGCGCCGTGGATGCGCGCAGAGGAGCGCAGCGCTGCCAGAGGACGGCCGGAGATAGTCTCACCCACTCCGGACAGAAAGATCCCCTCTGGACAGAAGGATCCACTCAGGACAGATCCACGCAGGACAGAAAGATCCACTCAGTACAGATCCATTCCGGACAGATCCACTCCGGACAGATAGATCCACGCCGGGCATTTCCACGCCGGACTGCGGCTTTTGCTCCCCTCGCGTGGAAAGTTTGGAGTCCCCCCCCCGCCCGCGGCAGGAACTTGTGGCTCCACGGGACGACCCACGGACCGTCGGCCGGGCATGGCGTCCCCTCCACTGACCCCCGCGTGGCTGCTGCTCGTGCCTGTTGCGCTGCTTCTGGGTGAGTACCGAAAGCAGCCGGTTCTCGGTCCGGACCGGGGCTCCGGTTCCGGGTCTGATCCGGACGGCTCTGGTCCGGACCGGCCCGGATCAGACCCCGTCCGGTCCTCCCGGTGCAGGTGTCCAGATGCTGGAGGCAGCAGCACCTGCCCAGATGTTGTCCCGCGCGCTGAGAGTTTCGGACTCCGGTAGATTTCCGCGTCCGTTTTCGGGTCCAAACGGGTCTGGGACGGACTCTGAGGTCGTGAATGCGGCAGGAGGGTTTGGGTCCGTGCAGAGCCGGATCCCGGTGCCGGATCCAGGCTGCGGAACCAGACCGGGTTCCGGGACAGAGAAGAACCGGGAGCCAAAGGGAGGTTTGCCCTGGGCTTTCTGGGTTTTTTCTCAGTTTGGCGACACACCGGACACTGCCCCGGTCACACTGGTCAGTCTGACGGCTCCACCGGCCGGAGGCCACCGGCTGCCCCGGTTAGGGAAGCGTGGCCCCCCAGGGGGTCCCGATGGACCCCCCAAAGCCCCCCCAGTCCCTCCTGGCG